GTGAGATGGAACGACGGTTTTTCCCTTTTCTCTCCCGGAGATTTCTCATCCGTGGTTCCGCCTTTTATGTGTGGTTAAAGTCTGATTTCGCATATATCCTTTTATCATTTTATTGTTTTTGTTACTTTTATTATTCATATCATCTGTATTATTATTATTATTCATTGAGGATTTTTTTTCATATATTTGATTTTGTGTGTATATTCGAATAGCTGCATGTTTGTGTGTGTTCATCAGTGCACTTAAACAGAGGCTGCACTATTCCAAAGGACCAAGGAATTGCCAAACTCAATTGTGACAAACGACCAAACAAGCCAAAGGAAAGACACTGAACTACCCACAGCCAGACACAAGCACTTAGCGTCACCCCGAAGATAACCATCTCAGTGCCAATCGAACTGAACATTCCCCACAATGAGTAAGCCTAAGGCATGACGCCCAACAGGGAGAGAGCATAGTAACCAACCCACCCGGTACAGTAACACCCTGTCAGATAAGAAGGCCCGTAAGATAAGCCGGCTATCCGCCTCAAGGTAAAGTCTCGGCAGACGATCTCGAGCCAGAGTTTGCCGCACAGACACCTCGAAATTACACGAAGCGGCTTAATGGCGGTGGACGTCAACGCTCGACGAAACACACTCCGAGACTGCTGATGCTTTCGTTTGTGTCACGGCCGCTAGAGGGCACTGCAGAGGTGTGCGAGGCTGGTCTAGAAACCGCATTGTGGCGAGGAAGCGTCGGTTATTATCTATACATTTTTCCCTTCTAAAAAATATTTTGTTCCTTGGAGTCCCTAAAAACCTTTTGATTTGTGATTTGACTCTTATTCTCCTCTCCCCCCCCCTCCCGAGCTATTTTAGCCCAGCAGATAATTTCCACCTTTAAAGCCATTTGAATTTTTGCGGTTATTGTGTAATGTGTCCGGAAACGTGCAAAAAGACAGAGCTGAATTTGCCAAAGACCGGAATAATTATCCCCATCGTGAGGTTCAAGAAGACCCATCCGCATCTAAGACTTTCATCATTCTAGTTATGTGACCCGATAACCTGCGAGAATGAGATTAGTTATTTTTAGATAAAGATTAACAGGCAGATAAGGTCCCAGGAAAGTCTATGGGAACTTCCTAATCGACTGGTGTCCGAATGGGTTCCTCGTGACCTTGGATTTGTTATCTCGCGTCTTCTTTTTACGTTATCAGGGTTTCTTTTTAAACATTTCAGTACATTCAGTACAACCTGATCTCATGATGAATGCGTTAGTACTTTGTGAATGGTGTATTGCAAGTAGCACATCTGGTACAAATATATAGGATGAAAATGTGTTAAAATGAAGCTCGCGGTTCAGACCCTTGTTCATGAACCCCATGACCAGCCTTATTAACTCTCGCTAATCCCCTTCCCTCCCCCCTCCCCCTTCTCCTCTTCTCCCTATCCCCTCTCCTCCGCCGCTTTCCTACTTCGCTTCCCCTTCTCCGTCCTCCTCCCCCCCCTCCACGTAATTCCTGCACCATCGCCCTCCCCCTCCCCGCTCCAACCCCTCCTCCCCTTATGCCCTAACCCTCCTCTCATTCTCCCTTCCCTTCCCCTCCTCTCCTCTCCTCCCTTCCCCTCCCTCTCCTTCCCCTCCTCTCCCCTCCCTTTTCCTCTCCCTTCCCTTTCCTCCTCTCTCCTCCCTTTCCTCCTCCCTTTCGTCTCCCCTCCTTTCCTCTTCCCCTCCTCTCCCCTCCCTACCCTTCCCCTCCTCTCCCCTCCCTCTTCTTCCCCTCCTCTCCCTCCCTTTTCCTTTCCCCTCCTCTCCCCCTCTCTTTCCACTTCGTCTGCCTTTCCTTCCCCTCTCCCTCTCCCACCCACCCCTCTCGCTCCCTCCCGTCACCATCTCCCCCCCCCTCCCCCGAATCCTCCTCTCACAAGGTCGCCTCCTCTTCGGGCTCTGTACGTGTCTTAAAATAATTCGTGTTATGAAGTCACGTGTGTTAACTTCACGTGGTTTGCTTCAGGAAAAAAGGATCCGTTTCTCATTCAAATCTATTTTCTTGAATGGGTGAGAATGGTATAGATAGTATGTGAGAGAGAGAGAGAGAGAGAGAGAGAGAGAGAGAGAGAGAGAGAGAGAGAGAGAGAGAGAGAGAGAGAGAGAGAGAGAGAGAGAGAGAGAGAGAGAGAGAGAGAGAGAGAGAGCAGACATATATACAGAGACAGAGAGAAAGGCAGGAAGACACGCACACACACACACACACACACACACACATACACATACACACACACACGCGCGCGCGTGCGGAGGAAAGAGAGAAAAAACAAAGAAAGTAATAGAAGCAAAGTGAAAGCGAGACAAGATTATAGAGAGACAAAGGCAGACATTTATGATAGAATAAAAAAAAAACAATCAAACCAGGAAGTTCACAGACTCAAAAAAAAGTATCAAGAAAATAAAATAAAAAGTACCAAAGAATAAAAAATTGATTAAATAGGAATCCCCTGAAGCCAAAAAAAAAAAAAAAAAAAAGAAAAAAGAAAAAACGAAGAAAAGGGAGACTCGAAGGCGCCTCCCCGCAGCCTGGAGACGCCCCGGCGGATTTCCCAAACCAACAATCATCCTCAGTTCTCTCTCTCTCTCTTTCTTTTCTTGTTCTTGGTTTCTGTCTCTCTCTCTTCTCTTCTTTCTTTCTTTCTTGGTTCTCCTTTCTCTTTCTTCTTTCTTTCTTCTTGGTCTCTTTCTCTCTCTCTTCTCTCTCTCTCTCTCTCTCTCTCTCTCTCTCTCTCTCTCTCTCTCTCTCTCTCTCTCTCTCTCTCTCTCTCTCTCTCTCTCTCTCCTCTCTCTCTCTCCCTCTCCCTCTCGGGGCTTCTCTGAACGCGTTGTATTTGTTTACAGTGGGCAGCCTTTGCGCTCTCCCACGTGTGTACTTGTTTGCAAGGACATCTCGCCGGCCTTTCGCTTTATTTCGAAATTTGTGCTTTTTTAGAACTTTTTTCTATTCTTTGGTTGGGGTTAGGGGGAGGGGGTCTCTGTCTTTAGTTTTCTGTTGTTGTTTTTTTCTCTCTCGGCCTTTCTGCCTTTCTCTCTTCTTTCTTTCTTCTTTTCCTTCTCACTCTCTCTCTCTCTCTTTCTTTCTCTTTTCCTCTCTCTCTCTCTCTCTCTCTTTCTCTTTCTCCTTCTCTCTCTACCTCTCCCCTGTCTCTCTAGTTATTGTACGTATTTAGTTAATCAGTACCACATGTTTAATTAATTTCTTTCTGTACTGTCTTTATCCATTATGTTTCACCTCCTGTGCGCAGCTCAAAATAGAACCGCGCAATGTGATACTAAGCTATCTCTTTCTCTTCTCCCCGACCTTCTCTTTCTTTCTCAGTCCTTTAACTCTCTCTCTCTCTCTCTCTCTCTCTCTCTCTCTCTCTCTCTCTCTCTCTCTCTCTCTCTCTCTCTCTCTCTCGCTCTCTCTCGCTCTCTCTCTCTCTCTCTCTCTCTCTCTCTCTCTCTCTCTCTCTCTCTCTCTCTCTCTCTCTCTCTCTCTCTCTCTCTCTCTCTCTTTCTCTCTCTTCTCTCTCTCTCTCTCTCTCTCTCTCTCTCTCTCTCTCTCTCTCTCTCTCTCTCTCTCTCTCTCTCTCTCTCTCTCTCTCTCTCTCTCTCTCTCTCTCTCTCTCTCTCTCTCTCTCTCTCTCTCTCTCTCTCTCTCTCTCTCTCTCTCTCTCTCTCTCTCTCTCTCTCTCTCTCTCTCTCTCTCTCTCTCTCTCTCTCTCTCTCTCTCTCTCGCTCTCTCTCTCTCTCTCTCTCTCTCCTCTCTCTCTCTCTCTCTCTCTCTCTCTCTCTCTCTCTCTCTCTCTCTCTCTCTCTCTCTCTCTCTCTCTCTCTCTCTCTCTCTCTCTCTCTCTCTCTCTCTCTCTCTCTCTCTCTCTCTCTCGCTCTCTCTCTCTCTCACTCACACACTCTCTCTCTCTCTCTCTCTCTCTCTCTCTCTCTCTCTCTCTCTCTCTCTCTCTCTCTCTCTCTCTCTCTCTCTCTCTCTCTCTCTCTCTCTCTCTCTCTCCTCATCCATCATCATCATCATCTTCATCATCTTCACCACCACCACCATCATCATCATCATCTTCACCACCATTACCACATCACCATCATTATCTTCATCATCACCACCACACTATCATCTTCACCACCACCACCATCATCATTACCTCGCCCAACCATCATCGTCATCATCACCACCACTTCTATCACCACCACCACCATTACCATCACCACCACCACCACCTCTTCCATCATCATCAAGAATTCTCGGTCCCAAGATCCGATGACAGTCTGTAAGGATAACCTTGGGTATTTTTTTTTCTTTTATGTTCCTTCAAAATACCGGAAACTGCACAAATAAAGCATATTTGTCTTGTCATCTTCTTTTCTTTTCTTTTCTTTTCTTTAAGGATTTTGTGGTTTTTTTTCTGATGTTTTTTTTCTGTGATGTTATAAGGTTTATTCAATTGTTGTTTTCATCATTATTATCATTCACTATTGTTATCAATACTATTATTATTATTATTACTATCATTTTTAGTATTATCATTATTATCATTACCATTATTATTAATCATTATTATTATCATCAATGTTATTATTATTGCTATTTTCATAATAATAATGGCAGTAATAGTAATAGTTATTATTATTATCATTATTATTGTTGTTATGTTTTTGTCGCTGTTGTTATTTGTTATTGTTAACTGTTATTATTATCATTATCATCATCATTGTCATCATTAACAATGCTATTACCATCAGTGTTATGTATTTTTCATTACCATATTCATTCTGGGTTGCTGTATGCATTCCGTGGGTCTTTGGGGGAAGTGGCCGGGTGGGGTGGGGGTTGGGGGGGGTAATTCATCATCTCCTGACAGCCGAGAAATCTTACTCCCGTTTTCATTACACCGATTTCATATCACATGGCAACTTTACTTCATATTCATACTGGGTAGATATTGTCATTGGTCTATGTATATTGGATAATGCCA